TCTAAGCTATAGATTCTTTTCCAGTTATTTGCTGAATAAACTTGGAAACTCTGCCTACATTTTCTAAAGTTTAGCTCTTCGTCTGTAAAATGGGAATAGAAACAGTTTAAATTTCATAAGGATTCAATGAGACAAAATGTGGCAATTATTTGCATAGTATGTAAAACATAGGTAGCCTTAATAAAAGCTAATTTATACTTTAGAAAAGAGCAACTTATTCATCATATACTGTTTTAGCAGTCACATTATTATTTAGTATGATTAACTAAAGCATAATAGTTTTAGCTCATGTATATTACAACCATGTTAAGTGTGCACTTCCTAGGCAAGATATTCATTTTCCACTTGTAATCAGTATTAAAATGCTATCATATTTTTTCACAGCATTTGAATCCTTCTTTTATTTTATGCATTTTAAGATCTTGACCATAGTGAAATTAGATTTTCAGGGCATTATTTTTCTAGCCTTTAATAGGAAATATTAACAGTCACAAAATAATGTTTTTAATTGGAAATAAATAGAATATTTACAGTTATTAACAAATATTGTTTTCAATACATAATTTGTGTACATTAACAAAATTAACCACTATTATTATTTTGTACCCAATATGGAAATGAATCATTTTTCAGAGGCATTTCTTCTTATCATAGTCTGGAACAATACATTCATGTGTTAAAATTGTAAAGACAATAAGTATGTCTTGTAAAATATTAGAAAAATCAGTAAATACAGGAAATTTTCATTTTCAATATTCACAGTTAATTGTTAGTATTAAGATCAGCTGAATTTTTAGTCATTAAAATCAATGCCTCTTCACTTCCCAGAATGAGCTAGATTTGTTGATTTTAGCAAAGGCACTGAGCATTGTAATTCTCTATATTAATACTTCTGCTAAGAAATTAAGCAAGTTTAAGCTATTCTCCAAAATTTAAAATAAAGATTGAATATACATTTATTTCAATTTATTTTTAACTTTGCAAACACCAGAAACAGACCACAAAAATAATTGTCAATTAATTGAGAAACCATTTAATTTTTGAGCTTAACATCATGTGTCTTATGTGCTACAGTAAAAGCTGAAGAGAGATAAATCCAAATTGAAGAAAGAAATGAAACTCCTTGATCAGAGGACCTTATTTTTTTAAGAGTAAGAACCAAGAAATTACGTGTCTAGCAGTGTACATTCAACCAAATTTTTCATCTAAGTCAAGATATTTTAGTAAAGTAAATCATAAATAAAAACTAATTTGTCATAGAAAAAGTTGCCTCTATTTTTTGTTGAATTATATTTAAAAGAATAATTAAATGTTTGTTATTGCAATGAAGCAGTAATCTCCGTATTCTGACACCTCAGAAGTCATTCAGACCTGCTTATTTTTGACAGAAGAACTAATCAAATCAATTCAAGATCACCATTATTGAATATGTCTTAAATCCCAGCCATTTCCATTCCAGTCAATCAACATGTTTTACTAATTATTAAATAATTTTTAAATATTCATTAGTTGTTGAAAAAACATTAGCATATCTTACTCAATAGTAACTGATGTTTTATTTTTAGCAATTTGTTTACTACTTGCTAGACAAAACTAATTCTCACCACTTTTCTAAAATATTTTGTTAACTTGACATATATCACAAATATTCATTGATATTAATACAAGTGGAGCAAAAAATCCATTTTCTTAGTGATATGAAAATAGTATTCTTAAAATGCTACTTTTAACGATCTCCTTATGCCTTAGTTTAGTGAGGTCCAGGTTCCTGTCCCCCAACTAATAAGAATAAGACACATGCATACCGGAGAGTGAGTAGGGCAG